GGGCGTGCTGAGTTAAATCCTTTTTCAATGTATTTCCCAATTTAGGGTAGGATTTTTAGATTTGACAAGGATTTGTAAGTATTTAGATTTGACAAGGATTGTAGTAGATTTGTTTAATCTCAAAAGATATGGACAACTAATTCTTGTTACAAAGTAGTTAAGATTGGATTTGATCACAAATTATAGTAGATAAACTCAATCCCACAAAATAAGGTTAAATCCCCAAGAATTAGGAACTAATCCCACAAAATATGGTCAAATCCCACAAAACAAGGTCAAATCCCTAAGAATTAGGAACAAATCCCACAAAATATGGTCAAATCCCTACGAATTAGAAACAAAATCCACACAACAATCAATCTTCTTTAATGGTGGAAGAAATTTTTACTCTTTTTTTTTTTTTTTTTTTTTTTTTTTCAAACTTAATTAACAAGATCTAAGATCACAACTTCCAGAATTGAAACAAGAACGAAATTAAAACACAATAGATGCAAATTTCGAATTAAAAATAAACAAAAGAAAAGGAAGAAGACAAACACAAAACAAGCATAAATAAGGAAACAAGTAATCACAAACCCTAGAACTAAGATAAATAAGAATTTACCTTAATCTTTGGCTCTGATACCAAACTGACGCGGAACCTTATGGAAATTTATTCCATGAACTCTATGACAAGTTTTGGAAGAGATCCAAGATCAAACTAAACCCCCCCTCTATGGCACCCAAAGCTTAAAGAAGCTTTAAAGAAGCAAGAACACCAATAATAGAGAAAAGAATAAGATAAACGCCACAATTAGATTGATAAGTTTACCTTGATCCTTTTGATGCAATTAGAAGAATGCAATCTTTCACACCCTCTAAAGCAAGAACACGCCTAAGCAATGGAAAAAGAAGTCTCTTTTGTATTAATTGATTTGAATAACTTGAAATAATTTACAATATAGCAAGCTATTTATACTAATTCTAAGAGGTCCAGATCCTTTAAAGGATTTAGATTAGTTTAGTCTAAATCAGCTAAGATTAAGGGATTAGCAAAATCTAAACCAACTAAAGGAGTTGACTAACCAATCATAACAACTTAAGAATTTGGATATCTAATCCAAATTCAATACTAAAGATGACTAAAATCTAAACAAAATAAGGCTAAAAATAATCAAGGGGTGGCCGAATTATAGGAGGCCCAACCATTTACATTGCAAAAATTCAAAATAAGCTAACTAGTTTAATGATGAGTAAGGCATGCACTGTCTGTGCCACGCAAGGGCGTGCCAGGTTGGTTATGGGGTGCGCTTCAGATCAAGTGGCATTTCTCGCGAGAGTCAGAGGCGTGCACGGGTCTGGGCGTGCCAGTTGGCACCGGCGTTGCTTCAGATCAAGTGTTCTTGCGAGAGGCAGGGAGGCTTGCACGACTTGGGGCGCGGTGCCACTTGCACGGGGCATGCTAACCTTGCCCGGGCTAGGGCGTGCTTATTGGTTGGATTTCAGATTTCCAAATCTCAACATGTTTGCTTCCATTTAATGTGAGAAACTAGGATTTCCTTCAAGTTCTTTTCATACATTGTTGAAATCAATGTCATGAGCTCTTGGTGTGTGATTGTCTTTGAATGTATAAGGACATGGTTACTCCTACTTCTTGCACAGCTCCTTGGTAATTGGTGCACTAGGAAGTACTAATGATTGCCCATTGTTGTAGTCCTTGTTCCCTTGAGGCTTCATAGGTGGTTTGTTCCCTTGAGCTTCATAGGTGGTTGGTGATAGTGGATCCGCATCAAAACGACACAAGTAAATTGATAAGTTTACCTTGATTCTTGATGCAATTAGAGGAAAGCAATCTCACAATCACTCTAATCAAAGAACATGCAAAGGCATGAACAAATCTAAAGATGTATTAATTCATTGAATCATTTGTTTAAGAACATAACAAAGCTATTTATACTAAATCTAAAAGACCTGATCCTTAAAGGAATCATAATAACTAATCCAAACAAACTAAGCATAAGGATTGATTAATCTAAACCAACTAAGGATAAGAATAACTAAATTAACAAATTAAGGATAAAAAACCCAAGGGTGGCCAAATTATTGGTGGCCCAACCCATCAACATTATTACAACTCAAAATTAACACTATTGGACTAACTAATTTCAAGCCCAAGCGCTCACCATTTATTAAGCTTAAATAGTTCCGAGCCCTAGCGCTCATTATTCAACCAACTCTTGACTCTCATCATTTAGACTAAGTCTAAGCATATTCACCAAAATATTCCAAGCCTAAGAAGCTCAGAATTAACTATTGAGCCTTAAGAAGCTCAAAGTTAGAAATTCACAAAGAAAAGTTCGAGCTCGTAATATTTTGAGCCTAAGAAGCTCAGAATTAAGAAACTCAAAGTTAAAATTTCGATCGCATAATATCCTAAGCTTAAGAAGCTCATAATTAACTATTGAAGCTTAAGAAGCTCAAAGTTAAAAATTCAAAAATGAAGCTTAAGAAGCTCAAAGTTAAAAATTCAAAAAGAAAAATTCGAGATCAAAATATTCTGAGTCTAATAAGCTCAGAATTAACTATTAAAGCTTAAGAAGCTTAAAGTTAAAAATTCAAAAAGAAAATTCCGAGCTCATAATATTCTAAGCCTAAGAAGCTTAGAATTAACTATTGATGTTTAAGAAGTTCAAAGTTAAAAATTCAAAAAGACTAAAAGAGCTCGAACATAAATGATTGAAACTTATCAGGGGACTTTTGATAGACTAACAAATAAATCAAAAGTATTAAATATATTTAATATAGACAATTTTATTGAGCATTACAAATCAATAAAGAATTTATAACGCTCGGTCAAAGAAAGTATTTATCATATACTTATTTAGTACTTAATAGCTTTGTCTCTCACTCGGAATGGGACAATGACTACTTCATCTATCTTATAAATATATGCTTTTATATTATTAAAATGGAGAGAAAAAAAATTTTATCACTACATTCAACTTATCTTCTCATTCATTTTTTACTTCTATCAATATACTATACGATAATTTTTAAAAAAATAGGACATCCACACGCTTAGAACACACTACACTAAATAAGTACAATACATTAATATTTCAAATAAATAAACAATCATTTATTTCAAATAAATATAACAATCATTTATGAAAAATCACATTAATATTTCAAATAAATAAACAATCATTTATGATAAATCATAAACATAAAATAAAAAATGCTTAATTTTTTATTTTAATATAATTAGTTAAATTCTCAAAATTATTATCACTATTAAAAAAAAATACATTAATAATGTGCGTGTATTTTTTGATGCAGGTCATAGTTGGGGTGTCAAAATAGATCATGACACTCGAACACGATTCGCCCAATGCGATAAATAAATGGGTTAGGGTTGATGTTAAATGGGTTCATGTCATAAAAGTATCGTGTCGCGGGTTGACACGCAGGTTTGGCGAGTGACTCATTTATTTAAGAGTAAAGAGACACTTTTAGTAGTAGATATAAATACTCCAACTAAAAACCTATTTAAATTTTGTTGTTGTATTACTTTTTTTTAGTTATGAATATTGAAGAATTTAAACATTTTATGTTTGAATTTTTTTTTAAATACAATTGGAGTTAAATAGGTATTTAAAAATATTATAAGTAGTTTAAGTGGGTTATATACAGATCAACAGGACCATCTTAACCTATTTATGATATTAAGTGGGTTACTTGGATTGTATATAGTCAACACGACCTACTTAACCTGTTGATAATATTAGGTGGGTTAAAAGTGTCGTGTTCGCGTCACTTGCCTAATTATCATATCATGTTCGTGTTGATAAACTTAATACAATTATTAAATTGGTCGTGTTGTGTTGATTCTAATCGTGTCATGTGTTAAGTGAATCCGCATCGAATCTGACACGCCAAACCATTTTGACACCCCTAGATCATACCATGTATAACTTTTGCTATTGCATACTTAGTAAAAGGCTTCACAACATATTTAAGAAGACACATCTTAACATTACAATTTTTTTTAGCATATCTCAATGAAATGCAATTTTGTAATGCATTTCACGATTATTTTATTATATAATTTTATTATTTTTAAATAATATTATAATATAATTTTATTATTTTTAAATAATATTATAAAAAATTATTTTATAATAATTATTATCCTCGTCGTGGGGACGAGTTTTCTAATACTGTACCGGTAAAATTAATAAACAGAACGGAGGAATGCATTACTAACCCCAACGAGGCCAAAACCAATCACTAGCTTCACCAGCGATAACATGAACTAGTGTCATTATAATCAATTTTGCAGCGAATTCGGACCATGGCACGAAAAATAATTAAAAAAATAAAAGACCACACATAGGCGGTAGGCCCCAATTTCTTGACCGAAAAAGCGGTGGTTATTACGGGCACGTCACTGTCCACGGATAATAGCGCGAATGCGGTTTTTTTTTGACTGCGTTCGGGCAGTCCCCCACACACACTTTCTTCTCTCATATTTAATTAAACGGTCTCGATTTTTTAATTTGTTTTTTAAAATTACTCTCTCTCTATAATGCATTTCACGATTATTTTATTATATAATTTTATTATTTTTAAATAATATTATAAAAAATTATTTTATAATAATATTACTCCTCGCGTGACGAGTTCTAATACCGGTAAAATATAAACAGAAACGGAGAAGCATTACTAACCCCAACAGGCCAAAAGCCATCACTAGTTCACCAGCATAACATGACTAGTGTCATTATAACAATTTGCAGCGAATCGGACATGGCACGAAAAAATAATTAAAAAAATAAAAGAACACACATATGGCGGTAGGCCCCACATTTTGACCGGAAAACGGTGTTATTACGGGTCACGTCACTGTCCACGATATAGCGCGAATGCGTTTTTTTTGACTGCGTTCGGGCAGCCCCACACACACTCTCTCTCATATTTAATTAAACGGTCTCGATTTTTTATTTTTTTTTAAATTACTCTCTCTCTCTCTCTGGCTTGAGCATAAGCATACACACTTCACTTAAAGTGAAGCTAAAAAGGAAAGTTTATTTCTTTGTGTTTTCTGGCTAAAAAGCAAAGCGGTGAAAAATGTTTTGAATTTGTTTCTATTTGTTTCTGTTCTTTTTCTCTCTGTTTTTGTTTTTCTTTGTTGCCTTTTGGAGCCAGTTAATTAGACAGATAGATAGAGATACAGAGAGAGAAAGGGATCAGAGAAAGATTGTTGCTTTTGGATTTGATTTTTTCAGAAGGTAATTTGGTGGAAGATAATAATGATGGGTTTATTCTAGAGATTTTATAAAGTTAGGGTTTTGTTGGGTTTTCTTTCTCTTTTTTTTTTAATGGTGAGCTGGGTTTTGGTATGTTGTTGTTTGGATCTGAGGAGATTGAGAGGTTAGAATTTTAAGGAAGAGTGTGCGTGTGGTTGATAGTGTAAGTGTAATGGAGAGGAAAGTTGGAGCCTTGGTTTTTGTGTGGCTGATCTTGTTGCTGAATCCACTATGGTTAGTTTTGTGTAATATGGAAGGTAAGGTTAAGGTTTGTCTTTGATTTGGTACTCTATTTATTGCTTTTTCAATACTATATTTTGCTGGGTTTCTTTTCCTTTTTCTAAATTTGAAGAGTTTGATCTGGATTTATTTTTTCCTTTGTTTGTTGTGGAAATGTCTTTTTTTCCCCTTACTAATAATTTTTGTAGTGAATAATGCCTTTTTGTAGTTCAGTACATGCACTTTTGTGATAATGGTTATTGGTGATCTTATTGAATCCTTCATTATCTGCTAGCGTTTATTACTTTATTATTCTGCCCGGTTTTTGTAAGGAACATTGATGAGTTGAATGTTGATCTTTTATTGCAGCTTAGATATTTTGGTAGTCTGTACTATTTATTACTTGAAACTGGGACTTTAGTGAAAATGGCTTTTGCTTATTAGTGAGAAAATATCTCAAGATACTAAGTTAATTTTCTTTGTCCCTCCAAATACTTTTGTGGAATGGTTCTAATATTGATCGTAATTTTTTTGGTGGACTCAGACTTTGTTATGTATATATTTGGCATTTGGCCTGTGCTTTAGCATGATATTATTTCAATGGCCCAAATTGTACAGTGTTCTACATGGCTAGTTGGTACAATCCAACCCCATATAATGAAGAAAGCCTTAAGCTCCATGCTATTTTATTTTAATAAAATCTTCTCTTCTTCTTCTTCTTCTTCTTCTTCTTCTTCTTCTTTTTTCCCATTTCTACCGATTGCTTGGTTTGAATTATTATTGTAACTGATAATATGATTTACACATTCAACATCAAAATCTCTAATCTTGAGAATTGGTGTCCTGGAACTTATCATGCATGTAAATCCTGATATAGTACTCATGGGAACTCTACATGCTATTGGAACTTTTTTTTTACCAATTTTATGTCCTCAGTATATCTTTTGCTGGTTGCTTTTGTTCTCTTAAGTTTTTCATTGCAACAGGTGATGCGTTGCACAGCCTGAGAAGCAACCTGGTTGATCCTAACAATGTCCTGCAAAGTTGGGATCCTACCCTTGTCAACCCTTGCACATGGTTTCACGTTACTTGCAACAATGATAATAGTGTTATAAGAGTGTATGTTTTCTTGTTTTTCTTTGATATCCTCCAAATACTCACTTAAAATGTAAATTACTTAAATTAAATTATATTGTTCTGCCACTTTTATGATATTTCTTCATTGTTTCTCAGTGATCTTGGAAATGCTGCTTTATCTGGTCAGCTAGTTCCACAACTTGGCCTGCTTAAAAACTTGCAATACTTGTAAGTTATTAATTCTGCTTTTAAAGTTCATTGATATATTTTGTTTGTCAAAAGGGTGCAGCAAGAATGCAATGCTCTAGTCTTTAAGTTATTTTTGCAAGTGCATATGTTCTGTTAGTGGTTTTATATCCTTCCTGTTTCTTCTGTGAAATGAATAAGGTATTTTATTAATTTTGGTTAGGACATGGCTTATAGTGTATTTTACCTTTATTCAGGTTGTAATTTCCAAGCATGTTCTTTTTTTTTTTTTTAATTTTTATTATTTTTTTAAATCTCTAGAGTCAAATTCTGCACCTTTTTCTAAGAGAGATGGAAAACCTAAAAAGCTTGCCAGAGCACTTAGAGAGAAGTATGTCAGCATAATTTATATCTGAAAGCTAACTGTTTTTAATACACCAACTGGTTGGAAAGAGAGAAGAACAAAAGGAAAAACTTCATGAATTTGTTCTCTTACCCCATTTAATCAGTGTTTTAAATAGAGGTGTCGGAGAACAATTGGTTTTATTAGCTCCCATGAGAATTTCCCTTTTTGGTGATGTGAGAGAAACCCTTTAAAATGCTGTGAAACAGGACATAATGTGCTTATGCGACAGATAGACACTCCAAGCATGGCATTTTCTTTTCTTTTCTTTTAATTTTGCATTTGTTTTCATGGAAACACAAATAATTCGGTATCTATGTAACAGGATAATCATAGAACCATCTTAACCCTTTTCTCCCTTTGAAATGGTTGACGAAATTGTTATAATATCCCAATCAAAGATCTTAAAGTAAAATAAGTGGAGTCGAAGAACAAAACCAATGAATTATAAAAGAATGTATAATTCCAATAATTCTCATCAAGTTCACAAGAAATAAAAAAAAAAAAATCAATGAGGACATAATTTCTTGTATAGAATAATATTTTCTTGTAACTCGTCAAACTTAAGGTGTGCTCAAGTAATAACTGTCACGCTTGAAAGGTTCTGTAGTCAAATTTTGAAAATTGAACATGACTTCTGCTAGTTTATATAGATGCTACGAATGTTTTACTATACATCTTAGAATTAGATTATATTTGGATGGTGTGATACTGGTGGTTATCGTTTATTGTCATTTACTGAGATAATGTAATAATGCGCAAATATAGACTGCATAATGTATAAATAGGTTCCATAGAACTATAGAAGCTCTTTGTGAAACATAGTTGAAGGCTTTCAGCATCATAAAGTTCCTTGTGTTTTGCTCCATTCAAATGGATTAAAATTTTATGCTTATGATCTAATTATACATTTCCAGAACATCATTTGGCCATTTGTTAATATTTCAAGTATTAAATTATCAGTTGACACATTTTATTTTATTTTCAACCTCTTACTTCTAAGAATATTTCTAACAGGGAGCTCTATAGTAATAACATAAGTGGACCAATTCCTAATGAACTTGGGAATTTGACTAGCTTGGTGAGCTTGGATCTTTATTTAAACAGCTTTTCTGGTCCCATCCCGGAAAGTTTGGGCAAACTGTCAAAACTGCGGTTCCTGTAAGTACACTTGCTGTGTAACTAAAATTTTTAATGTTAATGTGTATTGCTCAATTGTCAAACTGATATCATAGTAACATCAGTGTTTGTTACCATCATTCCTGTGTATTTTGCAATACACTAATTTTGCAATGAAGTGCAAGTAGGATTAATAATTGTTTGATTGAATAGTTTATGATGTGAATTAATGACTGTCACATGTTTAAGTTATGCATTCATTGGAGGACACCCATTGCAAACGCCCTTGGTGCACAAACACATGCATAGTCCCCGAAGTCAAAGAGATAAGCTATGTTTTCGATATGTGCATACTAGATACCCTCCTCTGAATATATTAATTCACCTTAATGCTGGTTTTTATTGATCATTATGGCAGTTGCATCTCAATTGATGCAGATAATGATTTGTTTTGGTTCTTGCCTATGTTTGTGCAAGGGTAGCCGGCTTAACAACAACAGCTTGGTGGGTCCCATTCCTATGTCATTGACTAATATTTCATCACTTCAAGTGTTGTGAGTGCCTAGCCCCTTCCGTTATGTCATGAAGTAATCTCTTTGATGTGTGTGTGTGTGTGTGTCCGTGGGTTGATTAATAAGCATAATCTTTATACTTTGCAGGGACCTCTCAAACAATCTTCTTTCAGGCGTTGTTCCAGATAATGGTTCCTTCTCAATGTTCACTCCCATTAGGTTGTTTGCTTATCAATTGAACTTGCATGCCTTGACTGGCAATTTTGGAATTCTTCTAAAAGGCTTGTTTTGCATTTGCAGTTTTGCTAACAACTTGGACTTGTGTGGACCAGTAACTGCGCATCCTTGCCCAGGCTCTCCTCCTTTTTCGCCTCCTCCTCCATTTGTTCCACCACCCCCAATTTCCACACCAGGCAAACTTCCATTTACTTCCATTTTGAACTTAAGTTTGATATCATGTTTATGTTATATGCTTGCAATACTGTGCCTTTGCCCTGTGGGCCTATCTTGTATGCTTGAAGTTTATTGATTTTCTGTAATGTTATGTGGTCCAATTTATATATGCTATCAATACACAAATTAACTTCATCAATATGGGATTCAACTCTTATAAAGGCCTCTTATTTTCTTCCCTTATACTTTTATCCAAAAAGAAGGTTTTTTAAACATTCTAGGGAGAGGTCCAATTGTAGCCCTTGAACTTTGACACTTCGATCATGGTACACACTCCATCTCAATTACATGAATAAGAACAGAAGAAGAACAAGGAGTAAAGAGAAAGATAGGGAAGAAGATATTACTGATGAAGAAAAGAAGATAGTATTATTGGAGATGAATGATCCAGAATATTCTTTTACAATCAATCAATCTTTCTTTTTATATTGAATTACAACAAGCTAACTAATTCATTGCCAAAGAAACTGATCTTGTAACAATTCTAACAACTTTGGCTGGCATGGCTGACTTCTTACTGAACTGGCATGATTAGTGCTTCTTCCTTAACGTGCGCCATTTCACTAATTTAATTGCTGAAGCACATTATTTCTGTTAATTGCACTGTTTTATTTATGCTGCTTATTTCACTTCACATCAGTTCGATTGAGTTATTTTACTTTAATTTGGGTCGATTAGACTCCTGAACAATAATTTTAAGTCATTTCAGTTCCCAACCAGACAACACTAAAGAGAACTATTAGGAAGTGACAGAATAAAGATTTTTAATGGGAAAAGTATGTAGGCTCTACTTGCAGATGTTAGCTTAGAGAATAGGACAAAAATTGTTGGTATTACATGTAAATGGTGGAAAATTTACTGCCTTATCGCTTCCATATGAGGTTATTTTAGCCGTGGAGACATAATTATGTAAAATTCTTCATATCCATTACTATCACGTGGGGTCATGTATCTTTGGCTAGGGATTTCAATTGATTAGAAATAAGAGTTTACAGTTTGATTGTTTCAAATTAAAGTAAGAGGACTCAATTGATCAAAGTGTCAAAGTTTAGGGGGAAAAAATGGGATTTCCTTGAAACATTCTAAGTTATGAACTTTTGAATCGATTGGAGAAATGAAATCATTAATTGGGATCAATAACTAGGATCTAATCCTAATGTCATGGAAGAAATGTTGGTTTCTGATTTTACAAGATTTACAGTATTAGTAGCATTCCTTTGATCTTGCATAGGGTTACTAATCTTGCACCTTATTTTATCACCTACCTAAAAAGCTTATTTTTATTATTCTTTTTCTGTGTTTTATTCTGCAATTTTCCTTTAGGGTACATTTATCAATCAGCAAAGTTGACTCCATCTTCAGGGGCACTCACTTTTCACCTTGGGTAGGCAGGTTTCTCATTTTTGTAATGATTATTGAAGAATATTATGGTACCTTTTCAAAAGTTGAATGAAGTGCATCATCTTATTGATTGATTAGTATTTGTTGCCAACAATTGTTTTTTATAATTTGATAACTTGTTTGCTGATTTTTGTATTTTTCCATTGCATCAAAACTTCAGGAGGGAATAGTGCAACTGGAGCAATAGCTGGAGGAGTAGCTGCTGGTGCAGCCTTACTGTTTGCTGCACCTGCAATAGCATTTGCTTGGTGGCGTCGTAGGAAACCTCAAGAATTCTTCTTTGATGTACCTGGTTAGCATTTTAACTGGAAACTAAAAATTGTTGATCTTTATTGTCACTTTGTCAGTCTGATATTCACGTTTGTTATTTCGCAGCTGAAGAGGATCCTGAAGTTCACCTAGGACAGCTTAAAAGGTTTTCACTGCGAGAATTACAAGTTGCAACAGATAGCTTCAGCAACAAAAACATTCTTGGTAGAGGAGGATTTGGTAAAGTTTACAAAGGACGTCTAGCGGATGGCTCATTGGTAGCTGTCAAAAGACTGAAAGAAGAGCGCACACCTGGAGGGGAGCTGCAGTTTCAAACAGAAGTAGAGATGATAAGCATGGCTGTCCACAGGAATCTCCTTAGATTACGTGGGTTTTGCATGACACCAACTGAACGATTGCTTGTTTATCCCTACATGGCAAATGGAAGTGTTGCATCCTGTTTACGAGGCAAGCTAGCTCCTCTTCCATTTATCATCGATATTTTACCAGCCTCACATCTTTTGTTGTATGATTGGGTGATCAAATTTTCTTACTTTAATGTTGACCCTCTGCTATATTAATTTTGTGAATGATGCTTGTAGAACGCCCACCGTCTCAACCTCCTCTTGATTGGCCAACACGGAAGCGAATTGCGCTAGGATCTGCTAGGGGTCTGTCTTATTTGCATGATCATTGTGACCCAAAAATTATTCATCGTGATGTTAAAGCTGCAAACATTTTGCTGGATGAGGAATTTGAGGCTGTTGTTGGGGACTTTGGGTTGGCTAAGTTGATGGACTACAAGGATACTCATGTAACTACTGCTGTCCGTGGAACAATAGGGCATATAGCTCCGGAGTATCTTTCTACTGGAAAATCATCTGAAAAAACAGATGTTTTTGGGTATGGGATCATGCTTCTGGAGCTAATTACCGGACAGAGGGCTTTTGACCTTGCTCGGCTTGCAAATGATGATGATGTCATGTTGCTTGATTGGGTATGCACTCTTTTACTGGTGTTTGCTCATTCATCTTTTGTAACCATCATATTGGAATTTTGACATGCATCCAAGACAAACTGCGTTCATGCATAGTTATGTAGTCATATCCTTATCTTGATATGGATCAAAGTTTACTATTAGTTTCATATGTCAACTATGCAGTAAAATCATTGTGAAACTCATGAATGGCATGCATATTCCCTTCATTTTGAGAAAATTCAATAAATTTCCCAAAGGATTAAAAAACCTTCCCAAAGGATTCGAACTTAGTTTGCACAAGATCCACAAAAAGAAAGAAGGGAGTATACTTGTGCACACAGATAATAATTTATCTGAATGGAATTTGTAGGAGTTTGCAATATCCAAATGCCCGAGTCTTAGTCATAACATTTCCCTTGATTATTGCAAGATTATAGGCTTTTTTTTTTTCTCTTTGGAAGTGGATCAACTCTATAATGTCTTTGTGAAAATTTTCAGCTTCCATCAACTGTCTTCTTTCTTGTTCAGTCAAATTGTTCGTCCATCTGATTTGACTGTGATACTAGGTAAAAGGACTTCTGAAAGAGAGAAAGCTAGAAATGCTGGTAGATCCTGATCTTCAGAACAAATATGTAGAATCTGAGGTAGAGCAGCTAATACAGGTTGCATTACTCTGTACACAAGGCTCTCCAATGGACCGGCCTAAAATGTCAGAAGTGGTTAGAATGCTCGAAGGGGATGGGTTAGCGGAGAGATGGGATGAGTGGCAAAAGGTAGAAGTTCTCCGGCAAGAGGTGGAGCTAGCTCCTCATCCTAATTCTGACTGGATTGTTGACTCAACAGAAAATCTGCATGCGGTAGAGTTATCTGGTCCAAGGTGACCCTGGCACAGCTACAAGTAAAGAGGAAATTCATATACTCACTGTTTTTTTTATTTATTTTTTATTTATTTTTTAATTGTAATTTTCTCTTTTATTTTATTTTTTGGCCTTCCTGATTTGATGAACATGTCATCCTGATTTAAGTCTCCTGTAAGTTTATTATGTATTGTATTCATTACATTTGTGCATACGAGGCAGCAGCATTAGTGACGTGCAATTTGTCTGCTGCCACTGGATTTATTATTATTATTATTATTATTATTTTTTGTATGCATGCTGCCTCAGTTTAATGGCCTACTGCAAATTTGTGCGCCTTGTTTAATTTAATTATAATCAGTCCAATCATATACATTATCCTCAACTATTTAAGCCATAATTCCACATAATTTTGTTTATTCTTTATTTATTATTTTCTAAATGTTTCCTTAATATTTTGTGGGGAGCACTGACATCCAGTAGTAAATTGAACTGATTGATCCGAATAATAGATTTGACATCTAGTTCGAACTGATTTATTCAACTCATGGAAAGGAGATGTATGTTGTGATCTGTTTTGTACGAATAATAGACCTGATATCTGTTTATATGCTTTCTGCTCAATCAATTCTTGCCTTTGAGGTTACAGCGTGCTTTAAAATTCGTTAAAAAGCACATTTATTACTAACAAAAGTACTTTTGTACAGTATATCCTAAACTTTCATCAATACATCACAGAATAAGCCAACAGAAATTCACCCATCCAAAACCATGTCGAACATTTCACATCTAAAATAGGAGTATCAATACCACATTATATAAGTTCCACGATAATAGATCCAACAACTCAAACGCCATGCGTAGAATGGGAATTATCCGTCACAGACTGAGCATTGAGTCCAACATTTGGGTTCTGTGTCGTAAACAAATTTGGATATGAGAAGTACGATTCATCGTCCATTGAAGGCAATCTTTGAGGCTGGTGATGAACAGACCCTTGCCCGGGACCTTGAACACTAGCAGAATCATAATCCACCTTCAGTTTTTCAAAAGAAGGAAGTTCATGTAATTCAGGTGGCTGGTGGCCTTCAAAAAGTTGATGCGAACCCAGATAACTTGAGACACCATTGCGATCACCAAAAGAGGGTTGATGATCAAAATGTGGCTTTTCTTTAGTAGCTGATTGAGCAGGAATATCTGTATGAAATGGATTCTCATCATCATCAGGGAATTTCTCACTATTTTTCTTGGTAAGCTCACTAATCTTGGCCTGTGCAAGAGTAGCTGCTGAACGAGCAGCCGCAGCTGCACGTTCAGCGGTTTCTGCAGCAGCTTGAGCAGCGGCTACAACATCCAGCAGATCTACGTTGGCCTCACTTTTTGTCCTAGAGACATGCGACAAATTATTCAGTCTTGTGGAAATGGATGCTGGGGATGCCGAAGGGGGAGACATAAAAGGCAAGAACTGTTTTTCTTCCTTGGCAGCCACTGGCTTTTCTTTAATTAAATCTTCATCTTCTAAATGAGTTTCTGGTGCTAGATTTTCATAGGATGTAGGGGAATTTGATGATTCGTTATCAATGCCACGTTGTGCAGTAGCTGGTATAGTTTCCATTTCTGGTGCCGAGGCAGCATTTGCAGTTGGCCGTAAAGACACCTTAGGAACTTCAGGAAAATCCAGTTCGTCAAAGTCTGAATCAGACTCTGGCTGTTTATCATGGGCATTATCAGGAATGGAGGTCAATTCTTCATCATGTTTCTCTTTTGGAAGGGGCAGCTTGGAGCCACTGACAAACTGTGTTGGACCATTCTGACAAAGTAGGGCGCATGTGAAGGGAGGGAAAAAAAAAAAAAAAAAAAAGGGAAAAAAAAAAAAAAAGACAAAAACAAAAATAGAGCAGCAAGACAATATAACTTACCAACAAATCTTCGTGTGGTTTTAAAAGCTCAGTTTCAGAGGCAGCTGGATCCCAATCTAGTTCATGCTCTTCAGCAATTTCCTTCAGGAGCTTCAATTTTACTTCAGGTGAAGGAGCACGAATTGATAAGAGTTCTATCAACTGCAGCATTTTAATTTACAAGAACATTGTCACTAGAAAACAAAACATGCAAACATCACTTCCTATGGAATTATGCAAAAACACAAGGTGAAAGTTCATAAAACCTGGCGATTGACTCCACATTCTGGCATAAGCTCACTCGCAGCAGCTACAAATTCCTTTCCATATTTGGAAGCAAATAGCATTTGAACCTGCAGCAATTCTGGCAGATCGGCACATCTTGGTGCAGCAAAACAGATGCTAGATATTGCTTCTTTCAAGTCTAAAGGACATTCCCTGAAGTAAATTTGACTTTCAGACAATTGATTTCTAGGACAGAAGTTTTTAACTTTGAGCTGCTACATTTTTTTTTAACTCGTATTAACTAGGGCTAACCTTAGCAGCATATGAAGTAAGACAAGTGCTCACATGATATGATGTCAAATGAACATGATACTTGCCAAAACTATACAAGGACATCATATATTTATGCGCTTCCAAGTCCTGTTCTTCGAGTGCGTATGCAAGTTCGTACTATTTACAATAATTATTTTCTCCTTGCATTTTCTCTAATTTATGTCTTCAATCTATGGACATGGGCTCTAAACTGGGTTAAATAAATGAAAATGATCCACATAGAAAATACTAACAAGATAGGAAAATGATATTCTGTTGAGTTGTACAGAGATGGGTTTCCAAGTAAGCCTGTTACTTGAACAAAATAACAATGCACAACAATAGTTACAATCATATGGCTGTAATGCCGATTAAGTAGCCTCTCTAAAAATTCAGGCAAGCATCACTTATTTGGAATACAACAATGTTATTCAATTCCAGCAAACAAAAAATAGAAATTTATTGGAAACTAAGGGGTTGTTTTTTGTCTTCTTGACAACTTATTAGACCTTCAGTTATTTATTTGGACAATAATGAAATAAGCATATTTGTTGAGCTAACCAATAAGTTGTTATCTAAATTTGCAGGCCAAGTTTAGTCTGAATGAAAAAGCCCACGGTATATTCTAAAACTCACACATCCATCTGAATAATGCATATGCAAACATTTTCAGTCTCTGACGTTCTTTCTCATTTTTTGTCAGGATAAACCCAAAACATTTCATTTGTAAAATCCAAATGACTAAATATACAGCAGACTGAATCTCTTTAACTTCTATTCCAAATATTCCCACCAATATGCAACCAAATCTCTTCAAGATAAATTTAGATTACTTTAATGCAAGTTAAATTTAAACAGTCGATCATAATCAATGCTAACTTCAGCCTATTACTTTCAGGATACTAATTTCAAAAGACAACACCAACTAAGACAATAATCTGGAAACAAGAAGACAATGAGAAATAACCTTTGGGCTTCAATGATTGGAAGACGCACAGAAATAAGCTCACAGAATAGCTCAAGGATCTCCTGAGCAGCCATCATATTCTCTTCTCTTATTATATGCTCTACCTGAAATGGGGCAAAAAGAAAAACTCAATTGGACTGTATATTATTTAACCAGCGAGAACAATTACGCACATAATTATACCCGAATGCGAGCAGTAGCTTCTTGTCCAGTTTCAAGAAGCTTAGCAATGTCACGACGCATTTGCTTTATCTGAATCTCTCTCCTATTTCTCAGCAATTTTATGCGCGGTATAGTCAATTTGAGTAGGGTTTTACTGAACATAAAAAAAAAAAATCTTCAAAACACCAGAAGTAGCAAACCAGAGCATGATTAAAAATATTTACCCAGAAACCAAACAGAACCCAAAAATTCCCACTCGCATAATTCATAATAAACCCCCTTAATAAACGAAAATCATAAAATTAGAAGAAGAAAGAAGGAAGTAATTAAATTACCATTTGGCAGCTTTAAATCCTTTATTGAAGAAGGAATCGAGCATCGACATGACTGTTGGCGATCAGATCAGAATATCAACAACAAAAACCTCCTAATTCAATAATGTAAATAAACGAAAAGAAATCCTAAGCTTGTTCAGAAGAAGGAAAAAAAAAAAAAAAGTAGAAATTGTAACAAGAATGTTCGATTCTTGAATTAAAGAAAAGATTAAATTATTTTTAAAAAAAAAAATACCTGCTACACTATACACACGCGTAATTACAGGCAAGTTTGGTTTCCTTATGGATGAAGGCTTTTTGTTGTTATTATTTTCTTAAATTAAATTAAATTTTATTTATTTATTTATTCTGTCTGTTATTAGGCAAGCGCTAAGGAAACCAAGATTTTAAGTAACGCGGCGCAAAGGTTCATTTTCATCATTCAAGCCTAGGTCACCACTCAAACCGACGAGAAAGACATTTTAACATAAATTCCTTTTTCATTTAAGTTTGGATTGCCCTAAATTTGTTTAAAGAAATTAAACAGGTTAAATTTTTTGACCCTTTTAATCAATTTAATTTTTGAACTTGAAACACAAAGGTGATTTTTTAATTTAATCCTAAAACTTAGTTTGAATAATTAAATCTAGCTCTCTAAATTTTTTTGCTATCCTTGCTTTGTAATTATTGTGTAGACTTTTATTAAACCAATAATTCAGATTGAGCTATATAATTTATTAAAAGATAAATTTAATCCTAAAACTTAGTTTGAATAATTAAATCTAGCTCTCTAAATTTTTTTGCTATCCTTGCTTTGTAATTATTGTGTAGACTTTTATTAAACCAATAATTCAGATTGAGCTATATAATTTATTAAAAGATAATTAAATAGATTGAGCTATATAATTTATTAAAAGATAATTAAATAGGAAACAGAGAAAAATACATGAAATATATTATATCTTTTTTATCTTAACAGATGATTTTGAATGCATGAATATGTACTAATTTGAATATTTTTTTAGACTAAATTAGTTCAAAAGGTCAAATTTGATCTTGATAATCTTTCTAAACAATTTCATAGGGAAAATTAAATTTAATTCTTTGTTCTGAATATTATATATATATATAATGATGAAATTTATTTAAAAATAGATATATTTAGTGCTATGTAAATTGATTTTAACAATTTTTTATGTTATAAATTAAAGGAAAAATGTTCAAAATTACCCCCTAAACTTGGGCCAAAGTTTGATTTGCTCATTTTTTTTTTTTTTTTTTCAAAACAAATAGCCCCTTGGTAAAAATAAGATAAAAAAGCCCATATATCAAGCCGGTAAGCATGCATGAACCTGCAAAAATGGGTGCGAGGGTGTGACGAGACATCTCCATCATCCTTTCTCTCACTGTCATCCTCTATCCCTTGATCATTTTTACCCCTTGTTTCTCTCTGTAATCGATCCATTCCCTTTCTCTCTTGATCATCCAGTATACTTTTTGATATGGATCCATTGGTGCTTCCTAGTGGGCTTGGATGTGTTCTTATTGATATGGATCCATTGGTGCTTCCTAGTGGGCTTGGATGTGTACTTGCTTCCTAGTGGGCTTGGATGTGTACTTTAAATCCCTTGTTGCTTGTTTTGGTCTAATTAATATGTAAGGGATATGGGCTCATAGTGTTTATTTAAGTTGTTTTTGGGGTTTGTTTTGGGTTGGTTTTATGATGCATGCAATCTGCCCAATATCAAGTTGTTTGTTTTGGGCTGGAAATGACTTTATTTTGTGTTTTAGAGTTAAGCCCCTGTGTTTTGGCCCTAGGGCAGCCTAGTTAGATGCTCTTCTTTAGGGTTATGTTTGTTTAAGGCATATAAATAGCCTCCTTAATATGTAAAACGAGATTTTTGGCATAATTTGAATCAAAGGCAGAATTGTTCATGCTCTTGCATGTTCTTCTTAATTAGAGTGATTGTGAGAATTTGCTATTCTCTAATTGCATCAAGAATTAAGGTAAAGGGTAAACTTATCATTCATTTGTGGCGTTTTTCTTGTTCTTTGCTGCGATTTATTGGTGTTACGTTTCATTATAAACGTGGGGTGCCCATAGAGCATAGAGCGTTTTAATCTCGATTATTGGTGTTTCCGTTTCATTATAAACGTGGGGTGCCATAGAGGCGAACTTACATCTCATTCCTTTGATTCCGATCCCGGTTCCTTATCAACTTCATGATGGATTCCATAATCGATACTCTTTGATTTATAAGGGGAAAAAGATGGTTCTTGTACCTTTATCACCTCAAGAAGTCTATGAAGATTAAAGAAAGATACTTGAGAGAGAGAGAGAGAGGTTTCGGCCTTGAGAGAACAAAAGAGAGAAGATAATAAGAATAAGGGAAAAGAGGCCACAAAAATAACAAAACAAATTAATAGCCCAATTGTGAGAGAAAAAGAAAGAGAGGAGAAAAAGAAATAGACTTTTTATCTGAATATTTTTTTTTTCTTATTCGATCTTCTTGAATCTAGTTTTCTCTTTAGATATTCTTGTTGTTTGCTTGTTTCTTGATAAAAAAAAAAAAAAGATCCAGACATTGCAGCCTTAGATCCAGACATTACAGCCTTAGATCTTATTAATTAGATCTTACAACACAAAAAAAAGGGTCATTATTAAAGAAAGATAAGTCAGAAATTGTTAAGGTCATTACCTACTTAAGTTGAATTGGTAGACAAAAAAATTGTTGGACAACCTACATACTAAGTCAATATCTACCTAGATTGAAATTGGAAGACACAATTGCTGGACAACCTAAAGCCATTTTGACTTGATTTGGGAATTTATTGATAGTCTACCTTACATTCAATTGAAGGATATCATATTTTGACTTGATTTGGGATCTTATCTTGAAAAAACACAAAAGTCATTGTTGGACAACCTAAATATTAAGTCATTTGTTGAGTTGGACACGTCTGCTACAGTAATTTGATCTTGAAGGCTTGTAGAAGCACGCCCGTGGCAAGATAGCAACGCCCCAGACCGTGCACTTCTCTGCCTTCTCGCGAGGGACACAACCATACATGTCGCGCACCCGCGTGCGCCTTGGAACGGCCCAGGCCGTGCACTCTGCTTGCCTCTTCGGCGAGGAACACTCATACATGCGCGCCACGCCCTGTGCGCAATCAGCACGCCCCAGGCCGTGCACTTCTCTGCCTCTCGCGAGAACACTCATACATGCGCGCACGCCCGTGCGCCTTGGCACGCCCTGGACCGTGCGACTATTCTGCCCTCTCAATTAAGTTTAGTTAGCTTATTTTGTGTTTTTGCAATGCTAATGGGGTTGGGCCTCCAAATATTTCGTCCACTCCTTGAATAATAGCCTTATTTTTGATTAGATTTAGTCAATCTTTAGTGGATTTGGATAGATCTCCAAATCCTTAAGTTGGTTATGATTTTTGTTAGTCTATACTCCTTAAGTTGGTTTAGATTTGCTTAATCCTACTCCTTAGCTAACTCTAAATCTCTCTAAGGATCTGGACTTCCTAGATTAGTATAAATAGCTTTGTTAATTTTGTAAATTATTCAACACCATTATTCAATCAATTAAAGAGAGATTTTTCTTCTTCCATGCCCTTTGGCGTGTTCAGTTTTAGAGAGTGTGAGATTGCATTCTTCTAATTGGCAATCAAGAATCAAGGTAAACTTATCAATTAATTGTGGCGTTTATCTTATTCTTTATCTAATTATTGGTGTTCTTGGCTCTTTAAGCTTGGGTGCCATAGATGAGGGGTTTAGTTTGATCTTGGATCTCTTCCAAAACTTGTCATAAGAGTTCATGAAATTTATTTTGTTAAAGAGAGATAAGTCAAATTGTTGTTAAGGTCATTACCTACCTAAGTTGAATTGGGAGACAAAAGTCATTGTTGGACAACCTAAATAATAAGTCATTACTTACCTAAATTGAAATTGGGAGACACAAACCATCCACTTATACCTTGTTAAGGCTTTACCCTACCTAAATTGGATCACATTTGTGGGTTAAGTAAGGATATAAGTCATGCACGCTGCTACAGTAACTTGCTACAGGAATTCAGAAGCATCCGTGCTACAGTACCTTAAAAAAAAAATTTTTTTTTTTTTTGGATTTTCTTTGTTTGCTTTCTTTGATTGGGTAGAATTAATTAGGTCCATATTTGATTTGCTTTGTAGTGAACTAAATTCATACATTATATCCAGAAATTGTCTTTTAAATTCTAGTTTCTATTTCTTGTTTGTGTGCTATCTTTGTCCTTATTTTTGTTGAGCTTTCTTTTGCTTCTATTACATTATTAGGGTGTGTTTGCTTGTTTACTACACTCTAATTGATAATTAACAAGTAGTACATTGTTTTGTTCTTTGTGCTACCATTTACCATTCATTTCGTTTGAGTTTTCATTCTAGAATTGTGCTTACATTTCTTTTGTTAAGGTTTATTTTCCTTGTGTTCTAAACGTGCTTTGAGGTTGATTGGTTGGCCTGAAATTCTGAAGTACAATTGGAGGATTTGCATGGAGTGATTAAAGAGTATAAACACGTGAGGGAGTGCTTTATCACTAACTCAAATGTTTTTGTGATTTCTATTTTGAACACTAACCATGAGTGCAGGCGCATTTGGAGATAATAGTGGGGAGGGAAGTCAAATGGAGGATCCCCAGTTGAAACTTGTAATGGAGTCAATCCTAGGACAATTTAGAACCTTCAACAATTCTATATGAGAAAGGATTTGCAGGAGATTAAAGCCGCCCAACGCTCTAATACAACAAGAGCTCGTCCTACTACTGCGCCAACTAGATTTCAAACTCCTAAAGATGAGGAGGTCGATAATCCTAATCATTACTTTAGGGATTTGAACAATAAGTTAGGAAGGGTGCAAGGAAGGAAGAAAAGGAAAAAATGGTGGATTACCTCAATAGGTATTCATTCACAAAAGGATGGGATGACCATTCCAAGATCATTTTCCTCAAAAGAAGTGGATGAAGACCAATATGGAAAGCAAAAGATGAGTTTTGAGGCTGTCAATAAAGAAAAGGAGTGATACGGATCAAGGAAGCAAGGTGAAGGATCCTCTAGCTCTGCCCGTGGGGCCAATCACAAGAGCTCGTGCAACCAAGCTACGAACAGCCTTGAATGCATTTGCTCAAGAACAAATCACATTGGAGCTTCAAGCATCATAATCGGATCAAGGAAGCAAGGTGAAGGATCCTCTAGCTCTACCCGTGGGGCCAATCACAAGAGCTCGTGCAACCAAGCTACGAACAGCCTTGAATGCAGTTCTTGCACCATTGACACCTCAAGAAGTGAATATTGATCAGAAAAAGTTGCTTGAGCTTGAGAGAGAGAAAGAGGAGTTCACTGATGTCTTTCTTGAAGAGTTGCCT